AACATGTTTCTTCTAATCCATCATCCTTTATGGTTCCAGGGCTCGGTCCTCGGACATGTCCTGGTCCAGACGTGCTGACGGAGGACGTGTGAATTTCCGCTCCTGTTTGTTGGACGTATTGATTTGTGACGTCTGTTTTCATATCCCTGAGTCAGCACGTATTACATATTCATAACCATTCCTCCTGCCTGACTGCAACGCTAGTTTATGGACCATAAAGTATTTCACTAAAATTAGAGAATTTTATTAATACAAAAATCTCAGACAGGATCTCAGAGCCAAGAAGAAGAAGACGACGACACTAATATTTAGCACAAGCTTCTAAAAGTAGCTCTATTTAGCTACTTGTATTTTAGCCTTTTAGGCTAACTTATAGCTGTTTTGTAGTTACTTTTAATTTCTCCTTTCATAAACAGCAATACATACTATATAGCAACAATTTTTGTGGTTACTTTTAATTTCTCCTTTCATAAATAGCAATGCATACTATGTAGCAACAATTTATTTTTATACATTTTTTGCTAATCTTGTATCATTTATATTTTAGATGCAAAAGATAAATGTTTTTTTCTAAATAAATTCCATTTATGGCAAATTCTGAATGTTCATAAAAATGTTCTTACATGGTGTAAGTGTGGTGTTCAGATGTATTTGGAGCGTTTCGACCTTCTGGCCCTGGTTTTAATGGCCGTGGCCAGAGATTCCAGAACGAGCAGCAGCGGCAACAGAAACAGAGATTTCATTTCATCTGCTGGATTTCCTTCTCCACTCAGGGGAAAAACCTTCTGCAGCAGCAGAAGAACAAAAGTGCAGCAGAGCAAAAACAGAACACCCCCTCTGCTCAATAATGGATCAGGGCATCTTTCACATTAATACATGCAAAGGATGCTTTAAACCACCGGGGGAGGGGTGGTAAATGGTCACCCAGCGGGGGCTAATTATCTCGGTCGTGGTTGATGAAGCTGTAGCTTTACTGGAGGAGAGCTCCGTCTCTGCTGCTGCTCCGCAGATGATGACAGTGAAGCAGACAAATGCATGTTCAACACACGAGGCAGCGAAGAGTCGTCCCTCATCGTTCCATGTACACTGATGAATGAGCAGCCACTGGTAACCATGGAAACCATGGTCACCGTTCCACTCTAGGACTTCCACAGGCTCCTCTGTGATCTGCTCGTTGTCCTGACGTTCTTGGTCAAAATGACTCACATCAGCTGGACCGTTCTGGACTCATGGACTTTGATAAGAGATTGACAAGTGATTCCAGTAGTGAAAATGAAGCCGGAAGAAACAGCGTCCCCTGGTGAAAGGCCTCTGATATTTTTGCTCTTATAACCTTATCACACACTAACTAAATGCTCTAAAGTCCAAGTTACATTTTCCACAACTTGTGTTCCAGGAATACATTTTACAACAAAGCTAATTAGCTTCATGTTCATGTTTATTGCTGATTAGCTCGTGCTATGCTCCAGGAGCATCCAATTATATTAAGTATTTTGTCTGAAAAATACCCAGAGTGACTGGCAGCAGTGGAAATAAAAACACTGTCCTACATCCAGTGCAGCTCAAGACTCGCTCCTGTTTATAGAGCGTGTCTGTTGTGTTACAGCCAGAGGAGACAAAGTGCATTAACCTACATTCAGCACAAAAGTCCAGCAGAAGAGAGTTACTTCAGGTCAAGTTGTGTTTTTTATCAAAAAAAAATTCTTCTTCTCTTGTCTTGTCTCCTCACATCATGTCACTGTACTGGGAGCAAAATAGCGATATATGAAATAAATATCTGATTCATCTTTGTATATTTCTAGGGTTGGAACTGAGTCAAAACTGTTCCACAGAATTCTGAGATAAATGTTTTTATATTTCAATGAATGGAGTGAAGTCGCTGCAGCTCCAGGTCCCAGTTCTGGGGTGTTTTGCTAACAGCTAACAGCAGCAGTGTAGCCTGGAGCTAGCCTGAAGCAGAACTGAGAGTGAGTGAAGTGTCGAACCTTTCTTCCTGCAGAGCCGCCTGCTGCCACAGGGGGTGTTTATTCTCAAACTTTTAAAAAAAGCACTTCAACTCATGAAACTTCTGGACGTGCCAGAGTTGGCCCGCAGACCACCAGTTGATCACCACTGTAGTGTGTCCTCAGCTTTAGCCTCTAAGCCTGTTTTAGCCTAAGCTCAGTGTTTTCATCCTGACTCATCTTCGTCTTCAACACCGTCATCGTGTTATCTTTTTTCATTCGAGTCTTTCACGGTTCCTGCGTCACACATCGTTGCACAAGAAGCTGCCTGAGCAGAAACAGTCTGCATCGCTGACCACAGCAACAACGACAGTAACACATCCGTCAAAACACTTTCCCTGAAGTGTTAACAGATGAAATGGAAAATGGAGCAGAAGTCGATGAACTTCCTGTTCGGACGCGTTCGACACATTTAACGTTAGCTGTGAGATTTAAAGTCTGGAGGAAACTGTGTGTCTCTTCATCACTGCATCAGACGATACACCGTGGTAAATAAAACTGGATTCTGTTGAAAAGTCAGTGTCAGACCCCCCCCCCCCCGTGTGTCATGTGACCAGAGCAGATGCGGTGGAGGAGGCACGTGTTTCGTCCGCCAGGATAAATGAAGCAGAGGTTAGAGTCTTCTTGTGTTACTGTGGCAGAATTAATCCACATCAGGAGCTAACGCTAACGTAAGCTCACACACCCACCGACCATCTGCTGGGCTCCTCACACACTCACTGAGGCTGCAGCAACGTCTCACTTCAGCTTCTACTGTTTGTTTTTTTTCACTTCATTGTCTACGATCTGTTTAGGTTAAATTTGGAAAAGGTTTCTCTAAAAAATAAATAAAATAAAATTAAATACAAAAATTAAATTAAATTAAATTAAATTAAAAATAATTTTTGTTTTCATCATCTTCAGCAGCAGCAGCCTCAGCCTCAGCAGCCTGAGCAGCAGCAGCCTGTTCTCCGTCTCTAACAGCAGACAACATCAACACTTGACTAAAAATGTCAAGAATCTTTGAGATTTAAAATCCCAGCGGAGCAGCGAGAACAGAATCAGACGACAGAAGGAAAACGGAAGGAGACACTTGTCAGACTTTTTCTCTTTTTTTTTTCCAGACGCCTGCTGTTCACAATGACTCAAAGGACCAGAGGAGATCAACCAGGTTTTCAGACTATTCACTATTCATGTTGCACTTCTCAGAGTTGGAGCAGACTTATTTTAAGGCTTCGCAAACATTCAAAACACACACTGAGAGAAAGACAATAACGGACAAACCTCAGAGGTCACAGACTGAGGAAAAGAAAAACAACAGCACCAAGTTACAGACCAGAGGTCAAATGACTGGAATGATCAGTGAGTTAACCCACGGTCCCAGCAGTTCTTCTCCTGCTGCCTTGTTCTCCAGCGTACACTGACATGACCATCGGTCTGACTGTTGTCATCTCCAACCTGACCACGTCCTGCGGTGACGCTGCGCAGATGGAATCACGTGCAGCAGCAGTTTTCATGAATATTTCACCGGGAGCTGTGCCAGATCTGACTACACTACGCTGCTCTTTACTGCATGAAGCTGGGTCACACACACACACACACACACACACACACACACACTCACGCAGTCATCTGTGTGTGGGTGCGTGTGCTTTAAATAGAGCGTGTGTTTTCTGCTCAGCTGGTTGGAGGGAAAGTAGATCAGTGTGTCTTCACTCACTAAAGGTTCATCTGGGCTGGACGCCGTGGGCTGGACGCCGTGGGCTGGATGCCGTGGGCCGCTGCTCTCCAGGCCCACCAGAATCACCAGCCCAGTGTCTGTACTGTTTCCTGTTTGAGTCAGTTTGACTGCGACTGTGTCGGGTTCTTCCCAGCAGCTGTTTGAGAGCCGTCACAGTCGGTGAAGTACGAGTGAAAAATACCCCGTTAATAAATACAGACAGAGGGCAGCAGAGTTTCCAGGGCAGATCAGACTGAGACTGAAGGTTGATCTGACGCCGCGCTAACTTAGCGGCCACCGTCTTTGACTCATACTTCTTCCTCATTACTTATCAACACCCTCGCACTCCTTCACGCCGATGGGATTTTCACGGTCCATTTATGGGACGGGGCGACACAGAGAAAGATGGAGGAAGGGCAGGGGGAGAGAAGGGTTGAATAAAGGGGAGGAGAGAGAGAGGAGCAGGGATGAAAAACGCTCAGAGAAACAACAGCAGCTCCACTGAAGAGTCAGGACGTGATGACACACCGTGACGCTAACGACCTGACACTCCATTAAACAGGAAGCAGACTCATTAACGACCTGCTGCAGACTTTACTAATTAACATTGTTGTTTTAATGAAGTTACTACGAGGGAAAAAAATCAGGTTATATTGACGATAAGAACGAAAAAGAGACAAAAATGGTCAGATCTGTCAAGGACACATTGGTATGTAGACTAGCAGTATCTGGAATCGAACCGCAAACCTTCTACATACAATCCACACTGCTCCACAGCAGTCCCATAGTTCAGTGATGGAATCATATGACACCCATATATGGTTCTAAGAGTAGAACTGATTAGTCACTGCTGCAGCTCAGGTTCTGACCTCCTCCCAGTGCCGCACCGTGACCCACTCAGGTAGTGACTCATAATTCATCCTCTCAGATTCACCCACAGACACACAGACCAACAACAACCACGGTGATCACACCTGCGTCTCCTCCACCCACAGACACTACTACACCCGTTCACTCGACAACCCGTCACTAACTACGAGCCTCGGTGAGTTCCCTGTATATCGTTAAACTGTGACGTCAGAGGAGGAAACGGGGAGATGCTGCCAAAAATGGTGTGAAAACACGTCATGAGCTGATAATGTTTTTATTAATAAATAAACGGGTGACTGGGTGTTTACTCCCCCCTCTCTCACCCCCAACTGTAGTTGAAGGTACTTGAATTAATGAAACCCACCGAGAACCGCAGCGGTTCATTGATTACCGTATTGATTGTTGTAAATTAAGGACAGCTGTCTCACCTTATGTTGTTTCCACATCGCAGCCAGAGGTCTGACGTCATGTTTGGCGTGTTTTCCTTCCTCCAGACACTTCAGACACACCGGAGCCTTGCAGCCGCAGCAGTACATGCTGAAGTTTTCCGCTTCGTGGTCCACGCACGTCGCCGGTTTCCGGGCGGTGACGGGCGGCTGAGGCTGTAGCTGCTGTCCGCCTCCACCTCCACCTCCTCCACCTGCTGCTGCCGCTGCTGCTGCTGCTCCTCCGCCCGCCGAATGGTTCGGCGGCGGCAGCAGGCGGTGTTTGGCCAGCGGACCCCGGGACGGGTGGCACCGCTGCTGGCACGCGTTACAGTAGCAGACGTCGCACTGCTCGCACATCACCGTGGCGTCCACCGGGTTTCGGTCGCACAGCTGACACTTCACCGCCGTTGATGAGGAGGTGGAGGAGGAGGCAGCAGCAGCAGCGGCAGCAGCAGCAGCGGCGGCGGCGCGGTTTTGCTGGTACCGAGCCACGATGGCCTCCAGCAGCCGGTTCCGGGGGAAGCCCCGGAGTCCCCGCTCATCCAGAGAGACGCTCCTGTGGCACAGCGGGCAGGTGAGGGAGCAGTGGCGGTGGGCGAAGGCCGGCGGAAATACCCGAACCCCGTTCGGGGACTTGAGCTGGCAGGGAGTGTAGGAGCCGTAGCCGCTGTCCGTCTCACTGTACAGACTCATCTTGTCCATGTCCAGGTAGTCGTAGTCCGAGCTGCCCGAGGCTCGGCTCTGCACCGGGGTCTCTCCGTCCGGGGTCTGCACCGTGATGTTCCGGGCACAGGCCAGACACACGTTGTGAGAGCAGGGCAGCAGGACCGGGTCCCTGAAGAGAGAACCACAGACGGGACATTTTAACTCTTCCTCCATGGCTCCAGAGGGAGAAGGAGAGACCGAGGACGATGCTTCTGAGAGGACGGTTCAGGACCGACTGACGCGGACAGCTCCCTGATACTGCGCTTGCGTGGCGCGGGTGGGCGGGGCTCTGTGGTTGGTGTGTGAGAGTGATGGGTTTATTTGAGGTGCGCTGTTCTGACATTGTTTTATAATTCTACTCCTAATCATTTTTATTGTTTTTTTAAATCACCCACTGTAATGTGTGGTCTGACTGTCATCCGTGGAGCTGTACACCTCCATCACTGTTACCCAACATTTCAGGAGATTTTATTGACATGGAAAATATTTGATTATAATTCCACTTTGCTATGAAATCCATCACAACAATATATTACTTTAAACCACACAGGGGCGCTGCTAGGGATTTTGGGCCCCATTAAAGGAATCAGGTGCACCAGAAACGTTCATTTATTTGACTATCATTCCTATTCAACTTAGTGTCATTTTATTTTATTTTAGTATTACAGTTTTATTTTATGGCACCCTCTTAATCATGGGCCCCTAGAATCGCCCCCTTGTGGTGGTCCAGCCCACACAGACCCTCAGGTGGAACAGAAAAGGCCCTTCTTTCTTTCTTTCCTAAAAACCCAGGAAGGCAGTGATCGTCCTCCACTGTGTCAACTATAATGACAGCTGTGATGATGAGGAGGAGTGTTTATCTCAAGGCCTGATTATCTGCATTAGTTCTGGTTGTCACTTTGCGACACGTTAGCTGCATAAAGAAAACGATGGAAGAGGAAAAAGTTCAAACGTGAAAGCTTGAGTGTCTAAGGAGGAGAAGGAGGCTCCTGGGAGAACATCTGAGGTCACTTCGATCCACTGACCTTTGCATTGTTTGACACCAGCTCTGTGCAGGGAGCGAACTGTTTAATTGACCAGGCGGCAGCTGTGATGGAGGAGCCTCAGGCTGCAGCTTTAATCCCACCCACGGGGACAGCTTTTCATCAATTAGTCCCGTTAAAGCTGCATCAGCTGCTGTGATTAAGACGACGTGTGACCAAATTAGACGTGAAGCATCCAAGCAAACAGTTTAGGTTCAAAGGAATTCTATGCAAAATTACACACATTAATAATAAATTAATTTTTTTGAAAATGTCCTGTTAGTTTTTCTTTCAGTTTTATGGAATAAAAACATTGACAATATTTTATATAAGGAAAAGTATAATATTCATCTGTTTATTATTTAGGTTAATGTATTTTATTGTTTTATTATTACTAATACAATATCATTATCCTGGAATTTAACATATTCAAATTCTTTATTTTTGTTATTTGCCACAAGAGGGCAGTATTGCTACAGGATGCGATAAAAAACTTGAATGTAAAATCAAAAATACAAACTGACATTTTATTGTAAACAGATGTGAAAAAGAGATGTGTAATTTTCGTTTCATCACATAAGCAGTTAATCTGAATGTGTCGACCAATAAAAATATAGACTTTTACATCAAGGTGTTTTTTAATTAAGGTTCATGTGATAATTTCAAACACAGATTACAATAAACAGTGAATATTTAACAGTGCATTTTCAGTTCAGTCATCCCTGTGACACAGTCAGCTGATGTTCGTGTGGTTGACTTTAAACATTACCATGATGGACATTATAAATGTAGTGTTCATGTCTGTCTTGTCATTAACTTAACTAGTTTGATTAGAAATGTCACCTACACATCATTATCAATTAGTATTAGTAAATAAGGTTAGTACTAACACTGTCTCCCGTCCTGCCGTGTCCAAACGTACATACGTCCGGCTGTTGTTTCTGAAATTCCCAGGACGTTCAGTGTCGTTCTTTCAATTTCACTTCAGGTGTCCTAAAAGTTTGACGCCGGCCTCAGACCAGTGACGTCGTGCTCTCTGGATTGACCCTGATCGGCCTGTTGCTCTTCCTCAGGTCCTGCAGCTGTTTGGCTGGTTTTCCCACCGCTTCCTCAAACCTGAGCTCCACAACGGGCAGCACTGTGTCGTGGAGGAAGGTGGCGTTCTGCATGATGAATGCCTTCTTTTCGGCGTCCTGCTCGCAGCGGAGGCTGTAGTCCACGTGCTGCACGGCCACCAGGATGATCTCCCTCAGGCTCTCCAGCAGAACCATGTGCAGCTCGGGGAAGTAGAGCTTCAGGCCTTCCTCCAGGAAGCTCATCATCTGCTTGGTGAAGGCCACCACCGTGTAGCTGAGGTTCACCCAGCAGTCGTCGCCCGTGTACTGTTCGAAATGGACCACGCCGCAGCTTTGCATCTCATCCTGCAGAGAGAAATACATATATATATATTCTGTCAGATTACTGATAACTCAGAATGCACAGATTCAAAGCAGTAACTCTGAGCACCTTGAGTTTGGTCAGAGCCTCGGGGGTCATGAGGTTCATCCTCCTCCACATCTCCTCAGAGTTGCGGTGCTTGGTGGCCTCGATGATGATGTCCTTGTAGCTCTGCAGCGCCGCCCTGACGTCTTTGACCAGCAGTGACTGCAGCATGAAGGTCAGGTCCAGACCGATCTCCGTCAGCTGTTGACAGTGTTCTTTAGCCACTTTGACGCATTCGGCCGCCGTCGACAGACTCTCCTTACTGTCAAACACCTGCCCAAGATAAAAAAAGGTTGCTGAAAGAGATCTAGACAAAAAGGTCAGAACTGCATACATACTGTACATGCAGTCCACGCTGTGACTTCATGCTCATCTCACCTGACTGCTGAAGGCATCCACAAACATCCTCATGGCCGACTTGGACCAGACCACAAAGGCAGAGTAGCAGCCCGTATTTCCGGCGAAGTCCATTTCAAACTCCTTGGCTGTTTCCAACAGGCTGGTGAAGAAGATGTTGCAGAGTTTGTGGATGTACAGCAGCGTGGCTCCTTCGATGCGGAGCTGCCGTATGGCCGTCTGAACCGCAGCGGCTCGGTTCTTGAGGAACAGCTCGCAGGCTTTCGTGGACTGACCTGAAAGCAGACAGAGAACCACATGTTGGACACATTCGGACTTTATATATTCTTGGCTCATAAATGTGTAATTTCTTCATTAAAGCAGCAGGTTTGTAAAATTAAATGACTGACATGTGGATGAGAAAAATGATAAGCAGGTTTGTAAAATTAAATGACTGACGTGGATGAGAAAAATGATACATTAACTATTGTAATTGTATTATTATTATTATTATTATCTTTAGAAAAATAATTACCCAGTCTGATGAGCTGTGACACCGCCCTCCTGGTTGCTTTTGGTCCTCCACGTAGTGACCGATCTGGAGACAACTCAAACACCAAAACCTCTGTCAGCTGCCGCACACGTACGTCCACTGTGGACCTGAGCTCTTTGACCTTCTGTGTGACTGGCTGGTCTCTGAGATAGTCGTTGAGCTTATCTAGCAGGTCCACTGCGCCTTCAAAGTCTCTCTGAGCGATGCAGACGTCCAGATCTTCTGGCAGCTCCTGGATCCACTCCAGACTGAGGTCTACACCTTCTTCCACATTGGCCTGGTCAACCTCGTCCTCATCGAAAGGATTTGTAGACTTTTCAGCTCTGGCGGGAGATTTTGGAGCCTCCTCCTCTTTCTTGCGGCTGTCCTTGGTGACTTTGTTCTTCTTGGTTTCGTCCAGGATCTCCAGCCACTCTTTCTTGATTTTGCTGTTCTCTGCCTGAAAAATGCGACTGTCTGGGAACATGAGGATCTTAAACATGTCCTTCATGGGAGGGTTGTCCTTCACGTTGACCACAGCGAAGCTCTCCAGGTCATAGAGGGCGTTGTATTTGTACTTGACCGTGCCTCTTCGGTTCGGCAACCAGGTTGCAATTAAAAGACAGTCGTTCATGAGGAAGGCGTGTACCTTCTGAATAGGGGACATATTGTCAACATCAAACTCCACAAGATCTCCATTGTAGACAAGATGCCTTCCAGGGGTGTCCATGATGTTTTTACCCCCCTCTACCTTCTCCAGCAGAGAGGTGAGCGTCCTTTGCTTCACCTCTTCTGTCTCTTTGGGAAAAGCAGCCTGCATCTCCTTGGAGGTCTCGTCCTTATCCGTGGACATTAAGGCCTGGGTGATGCTCTCCATGATGCTCTTCTGCTCCGTCAGGATGTGACTCAGCTGATACATCTCACTCTCCAGGTAGGAAATCTCCTTGGCCGTCTCGATGAACTGCCTGTAGTTCTTGTAGACGTTTTTCTTCAGGTTTTGAGCCGTTTCGTCGGCCAAGTTTTGGATTTTCTGTCGATGCTCCTGCAGATCTCGGTCGCCATCGGACTGTTGTGACAGCTGCTTCACGTAGTTTTGTGGGTCGAAATTGGGCGATTCGAGAAGTTTACGTAGACGGTTTCCCGTTTCAGCCATTATGTATTGTTTAAGGTTTGAACAATAATCAGAAAAATATTCAAACCCACCGATGAATGGACAAAGAATAGGCAAATGACTACGATCTACGGCTCATGTCCACTGAGAACCCAAACAGGAAGCTGTAAGTGGGTTGACTCCCTGAAACGTCACGGGATTCAGAAAAAGGATGGTCAACAAAATGCGCAAAAATCCTATTCAAAATATAAGACGTTCTACAATTTACCTCAATCGTTACATTTATCAGAATGGTTTTAAAACTAATTTAACAATAAAAATATTACTGAAATTTTAAAAAGTCGAATAATAAATAGTATGTAATATCGTGTAATGTAATAAACATTACACGAATGTATTTTTGAGTGGCCCACTTTTTTCATGCGCGAGACTTCACATACGGCAGGCCATTGCAATGGTTTGAAACACCGCGATATTTTCCCAACGTATGCCGGGTTTGTGGCAACAAAATCCGGAACCGTGTGGACTTTCACAATAAAAGAAAGAAACGGGGTCACCTTAAGAGAACATGCCATTTTTTGTCATTTGATTATTTTTTAAATTCAGTATATAAATGAATAGCTGAAATTATTCTAGTAAACTAAAATGCGGGATCTTAAAGTTATATTTTACCAGAATATCTTTCGGAAATTGTATTGTGAAATCTACAACGGAAATGATGTGTATAACAATCAATTCAACACAGGAAGTATCGTCAAGCCTGGTTGGCAGTTCGTTTAAAATATGACATAAACATCATAAATTACTTTTAAAGTAAGATTTTTTTTAATGAAGCAAGTGATTACCGACTAAATCGTGGCACGAGTCGAAATTTGCGGTTATGGATGCCGATTTGCTGCTCGCTATTCAGCTGCAGGAGCAGTTTGACAGCGAGTACCAGTCGTCGTTGTTTTCACCCAGTGGTTTTGAAAACAAAGATTCTGGAAACAGCAGCAAGAAACGAAAAATAGACGGTGGTAACGATGTTGTTCCCTATTGGAAGCCGACTGCCCGACCCGAGAGGCCGTTGTCTATCGTGGATGAGTCTTGGGAGACACTTGATCCAAGTCCCGATGTCAGAGCCATGTTTCTGGAATTTAACGACACGTTCTTTTGGGGGAAGCTCTGCGGTGTCGAGGTTAAGTGGAGCCCCCGAATGACACTGTAAGCCGCGTATTACCTTGTGGTAACACGTACTGACTGTATTCACATATCTAAAAATGTAATAAATTACCTAAATGAATCAGATTGAATGAGGATTTGGGTGAGATACAGCTGTATTTAATGTCTTTTCATGGTGTCAGTGCTGTTAGTGCAGCATTTACAATGTCACTGTCAAACAAAAGTGCTAAACATATAATTTCCCCTAAGGTGTGCTGGTGTGTGTTCGTACGAGGGCCGAGGTGGACTGTGTTCCATCAGACTTAGTGAACCTCTGCTGAAGCTGCGACCTAGGAAGGACTTGGTTGAAGTAAATATAAAAAATAATTTTTACTTGAGATCCCTCATTGGAGTCTTTACTTGCATATATATATTAACAGAATTGTCTTTTTCCCGCAGACTCTCCTCCATGAAATGATTCACGCCCTTCTGTTTGTAACCCAGAACAACAAAGACAGAGACGGTCACGGTCCTGAGTTCTGCAAACACATGAACCGGATCAACACAGCCAGTGGAACAAACATCACTGTACGGCCCTCTCCCTGGGTCCATATTTGGCCATTTGTTTCCTAGTTCAGTGATCTGAATGGTGTGTTTTCCTCCCTCAGGTCTACCACAGCTTTCACGATGAGGTGGATGTTTACAGGCAGCACTGGTGGCGATGTGACGGCCCCTGCCAGACCCACAAACCCTTTTTTGGCTATGTAAAAAGGGCTATGAACAGAGCTCCATCTTCTTTGGATTTTTGGTGGGCCGACCATCAAAGGACATGTGGTGGGACTTACACCAAGATCAAGGAACCGGAAGGATACGGCAAAAAAGGCAAGAAGGATGGAAAAAAGAACGGGAAGACAACAGATAAAGAAACAGCTGGAACTGAGAAGCCTTCGAGTTCTAGTGCAGGTAAAGTGTTGGAAATGTGGGATTGTGACTCACTGATGGTTTGTGACTCAAATATAAACCTTTTTTATTCACAGGATTGAAGTCACAGGATATACGGAACATTATCCCATTTAGTGGCAAAGGTTTTCTACTGGGAGGACAGTCACAGTCCTCTACGCCTTCCCTTCAAAACCCAGCTGTGCCTGTCATGAAAGTTTCATCACCTATCCCAAACTCTCCCCTCAAGAAACCCCTCCCATCTCCATCTAAAACTCTGTCTACTCCCGTACACTATAACCATGACAACTCAGGGTCATCTATCGGGCCGAGAGCCCACACTGGACCTCCCAAGCCTCCTGTAAAGAGGTCTGTCAGCAATACTAGAGTTTTTGTCAACATCAATGGTTCGCCGGTACGAATCTCTAAACCGCACAGGAGCAGCAGTAGCAAGGGAGCAGAGAAAATACGGCAGAAGTCAATTCAAGACCTTTTCAACAGCACTGGTGCTGTCGAAAAGTCCACCTCCGGTTCAGCGACATCACCAAAACCACAGAGTTCTACCTCATCCTGCACATCCAAAACTGATCCAAGTACTTCCCAGTATCCTCCTGTCGTCACGAGCAAAGCCAGCAACGAGAGGCCGACAGAGTCAAAGTATTTTGGCAGTAACAGTACACCAGGAGCTGTCAGTGGAGGTCAGACCTCCAGGAAGAGGTCATGGGACGATCGCAGCGGCAGCTCCGCCTACATCTTTGACCTTTTCCAAAGAACACCGAGCGCTGAATCAGCAGCAGCCAGGGAGTCGATGAAGGCTAAATCACCTGCAGCGCAGCAGAGAACTGCTGCTGGTGTGGGTGCTGCTGGCACCAGCACCTCCTCATCATCAACTGCCGCCGCTTCCTCGTCTTCCTCAGCACTGATGGTCAGCTGTCCTGTGTGCCAGGCCCAGGTGCAGGAGTCCAAGATTAATCAGCATCTTGATTCCTGTCTCTCCTGAAGCGTGTGGGGCAGATGTACAGGAGGGCAGGTGAGATGTTGCAGTAGAAACTGCTTACAAAGAAAGAAGAGATACATACCTCAGAGAAGTGGTGTTCACTGTGGCCATTTTTAAAGTCAGGTCAGATTCTGTTCTTCAAGGAGAAATCCAATCGGTTTTAAACACATTGATGACATTCACACTCTCTGTGGCTGTGGGAAAAATGACATCATTTTAACCAACATAAGTTTGTCTGTTTGTCAATGCAAAAGTGTCAAACAGTTGGTACAGCTTGACAGTCAAAATTAAGATTCCACCAGATAATCCAAGTTCAGTGGTTTTTCATTTAATTGGGTAAAAAAAAGTTCTTTCCATTCAGCAGTAGATAAGTTGAATCACTGTGTATTTATCTGCATAATAATTGTTTCCTATCTGGGAGGATGGATCTTGACATGTCCTGGCTCTCAGATCTGTTTCTGCTGCCCTTTATGCAGCAGTGGGGCCCAGACTGACCCGTCGCAGATCTGCAGGACTCAGATTTCACACTCAGTGGCAGCTTTTTCTCTGCTCATCTTAACATAAACTCTGGTTACATCTAACAAGTTTAAACATTTTAACATTTTTTACAGGCTTTTACTTTGGTAGGGAGTGTATTAATAGTGTTAGTGTAAATATATTTTGTAATTTTATGTCTTTTTATGTCTGTTTTAATGCAAATTTGTTCAATATGTTGAAGTTAATTTTCCAAATAAAATATTTTACCTTCTGAGAACTTGTCACATCGTTATATTAATTAAATGGTGATTAATTACATTATTCGGATGGTGTACAGTGTTCTGGAAGACAATCAGTATTAGCCACACAGCCAACAGTATACTAACAGTATGTAGTATGTATTTATTTTCTGTCTATCGTTAGCCACCAGCTGACAGCACGGAACGTAAACAACCGACGTCACAGACATACACGTCACATCAATCAAATCCAACAATTCCACCATACACGTTCATGTCACTCACCTCTGCGGTGAGCTCTCAGCTGCCGATAAAGTTGGACGTCGTTGCACCGGTTTCTCCAATCTCGACACAGAAGACTCAGCATTCTTCGTTCGTTAGTAACGTGTTGTTTCACTCAAGCAGGTTTGCGAGTCGCCAGGATGTGACGTCATCCGAGCCCGTGAGGCGCTCACCTAATACGAGCCCCATGGTTACCGTGACAACAAAAAAGGCGCTCACCTAATACGAGCCCCATGGCAACAAAATATACAAGTTTCAAAGTCTCCTCTAAGTGAACACACCAAAACAGAAATTGCATCCACAAGAGGGCGACATACAGACACCTGCATGAAACAAGACCCTCACCGTCACCACATTGCATTGGTTACGTTTTCATGTTTTATTTAAGACATAATTGGTACAAAGTTACATTTCTATTATTGATCATATTTCACCCCCCCACCCTTCATACTCAGAGGCATTACACTGCAATCACACAATCACACGACTTCACTCAGAAAACTCCACAAACATTTGCTCCACACCTCAGTCAATCACGATCACATCACACGGCTTTCGCTCCAGTGCAGTGTTGCTCTCTAACGCCTGCACGATCTGTGTGGCTGACGGCCTCTTCTTAGGGTCTTCCTCTGTGCACAGGTAGAACAGCTCCACCATCCTCTGGTAGGAGCTGCCCAGAGCATCAGTGTCCAGCGCCGGACGTGTCCCCAACTTCTCAAAATAAGCATCTTCATCAAAGCTCTCCTCCATCGAATCGTCCACATCTGAGAATGACATCTGTGTTACACGTACTTATGAGCACTCTTAACTCAATGTTTTTTTTTTCTTTTGCTGAGTGACTTCACCTGCATCATTCAGTGGTCCCAAATGAGGCATCTCCAGCGTCATCATCTCCCACAGAGTCAGTCCGTAGGCAAAAATATCAGCCTTGTCGCTGATCTCCCCATCTTCCTCCAGAGCCTCCTTTGGCTTCCAAGGCTCGGTGCCAATGTATTCCATGTTAGAGTTGGAAACTAAGAACAAAAACATTGGACAATGACGAGATGAAAACAGATGACAGATGAACTGTGTTGATCTACTCTACAGATACATTTGTTTCTCATCTCAACACTGATTTCCATGGCAGCAGGTTTTTCATACCATTTCCTATTACATCTGAAATCCTATTCTATACCCTAGAAAATTTCATATTTTCACATCAAAAGTTGACAACAAATCCATCCAAAATGTCATTCTGAAAATTCTCAGTACAGTATGTCAATTTTAAGAGACTAAAAAACAACTCTCTGAAAATTCTCAGTACAGTATGTCAACAACTTTCAAAAGGTTACCACGTTTTATTTAACATTTGTGAATGTTTCTTTCCTTTGGTCGATTTTCGTTCATTTCTAACATTTTCGGATGTTTCATAAAAGTAATTTTCATCCAGCTGCACATTTTTGCCATTACTTCACATTTCAAACCTCCTCACCTTTCATGTTCTCATCCAGCGGCAGAGAGACGCCAATATCACAGATCTTCACGCTTTCAAAGTCTCCTTTAATGACCACATTACAAGACTTCATGTCTCCATGCAGCAGCTTTCGTACATTGTGAAGATACTAAAGACAAAACAAACAGAATGACCTTGAATGGTAAAGTGTAGTGTAAACAGCAACAATAACCCTAGGACTTAGCAGTAAAACATTCTCTGACCTGCAGACCTCGGCCCACGTGCAAAGCCACTTTCTCAATGTTTTTCACAGGAAATGACTTCAGGCCATCCTCCCTACGCTTCTCGATGAGGTCATTCAGGGACTGCTCTCCTCCGTACTCCATCGCCAGACACTTGGAGCCGTCTTTGGCCTTGGCAAAAGCACGGAATCCTTCATTTAGGGAAATCAACAGAGTAAAAAAAATGACGACATCTCAGTAACTGTGTTTGGGTTGGCCATGTTAGCATCATCACATTGTCATGGTAGCACTGTGTTTGGGTTGGCCATGTTAGCATCACATTGTCATGGTAGCACTCTTCTAATATGTTTGCAGTAAAGTCTCAAATTCAGTTGACTTAATTCAGCCATTTCCCCCCTTCTCTCTAAGGGCAAATCCAACCAACCATCCAACATTTAGCAAACACCTGTGTTCTTACCGACTATGTTTGGGTGATTGATCTCCTTCAGGATCTTTGCCTCTTCGTTCAGACGCTTCTGGTAAACGGCTGCTTGTTTTGCTGCCATTTTACTGTTGAGCTTCTTCACAGCCCAGGGAGACGCATTCAGCTTTTCTGCTCTGGAATTCCATCAGAAGAATTAGTTCAGTTAAACTTGTTCTAGCAT